AGCTATGGGGAGAAGATACGGGGATTGGAAGCAGAGAATCCCTGGGCTGCCAGAAGGGCAGCTCCATTTTCCCACACAGTGGTGCACCTGGAAGGGAAGATGAGGCAGCCCCTGCTATGAAAAGGAGGCTGGCATTGAGTGAGGATGGGAGCAGAGGCAGCCTGTCGAGATGCTGAAGGTGAACAAGGAGAATTGGTGGACTGAAAGGGGCTGGATCACTGATCTGCTGGAGAGGAGGAAGGATGGAGCAGGGCTGGAAGTGAGATAGATTATGATGCTATTGACGGACTGGGGGGGGGAGATAATTGATGGTAGCATGGATTTGGGTAGATTTAGGAAGGGGGTTATTTAGGGAGTTACTCTGATGTGGTCCTTAACCTGGGAGGTCATCATATCAGGCTTCTTGAGGCAACCTACACTGGTCTTCCCCACGCACCCCTGGGCATCCCTGCTTTCTCCTCTCCCTCAAAGCCTTTCTTACTCCCCTCTCACACACCCCGGCCGCCCTGATTGTGTCCTGCTCTTTACCAAGTGGGCCACTGTCTCTGCTGAACACTGAATATCTATGCGGAGTGCTGATTTTTTGCTACTTATTCAGAAGACAAATTTTACAAGATCACACCAAGAAAGTTACCAGTCTGTTGTTAATAATCCATATTGCAGTTCCTGTGCCATATGGTTAAGTAAAGGTTTTGATTCATTCAGTCAAAAATCCTCATGTAAATGCCACATACATTTTTCATGAAGGGAGCACATAACCCTCCCCAGTGGAGAGTTATATGATTAAATCAATCAGCTCAGCCTTTTTAAAACACTTAATGTTGCAGTGAAAGCTTGAATCATTTTCCAAGGCATATAGCTATTGGCACTGTGATCCACTCAGTAACATTTTCCCCTGAGGCTGGCGTGTCATTATGCTTCTAACTGGAAACGAGCAGTGACAGAAGAGCATAAAAAATACCTGCATTGATGAATGCATCTCAGTTAGGGTTCTGGGGGAAATGTCCACTCTGCTCCAGTAGGTGTCAAGAGGGAACACAGCTCCCAAGTGAAATTGACTGTAGTCAAACAAGATCATTGGAACATCACTTCAGGTCATGTGATTAATGCACCAGTGAAAGGTGAAAGCTGCCAATCGGTCGTGGCTGGCTCAAAGGTTTGGGATATAAGAGTAAGTGCCAGGGAGATGGATTAGTAGGCAGAGTGCAAAAGAGGCACTTTAAGAGGCATTCAAAAAATGGCACTTTACATCTATGCTACTGTGCTCTTGTAAATATAAACCAGCCAGCCCTAGTATTTATCATAGAGACTCTGCGGCACTTAAGAGTCAAATGCGCCTGAGGTCAGCACTGGAGGATACTGCTCAACAACATAGTCTGTTGGGCTTTTTGCCATAACAGTATCTTGTACTTAAGTAATATTGTACTGGTAGGTTAAATTGAAACTGGGGTGTCCCTTCCCCTTCCCAAGTCCTGTTTGGGGGATGGAAGTAGGGAGGCCAAGGAAGGGAAGGCTGACATGGGTTGGATCCAGTTATCCTCATTTGTGTAAATGCCTTCACTGCTGATGGAATGTCCCTATGTTCTAGTAACAACCTGAATGAAATATGAGGGCATATGTGCTACACTCATCCACACTAAAGGAGCACATTTGTCGATGGATCAGGAAAGCTCTCTGGCATTCAAGCATTAACAGCATTGGCATTCAAGCTCTTTAACTGGGCTTTGAAGATAGCAACCCATCAAGATAACTGTGGAAGTTCACTTCTCTCTGTTTCAGAGTAGCAGCCGTGTTAGTCTGTATCCTTCTCTCTGTGCTATTGTTTCAGCTTTTCTGTTGACTCAGTGGGACTGGTTACATTGTACAGCTGTTTTTGCCAACAGAAAACAAGAAAAATTATTTCCATTTTAATTCACATCTTGGGCTCTAGAGAACTGCAGAGAAAGGCTAGCTGAGTCTCCGTGCCCATTCATCCCTTCACCTCGTTGATGAGATTGACAACAAGGGAGCTTGACATTATTTTTTAACCTAAATTATGTTTTTGGTGTCTTTCCTGATAAAGTGATGCTACCAAATGATTTAGGACGAAACCTGACCTACACTGACTGTCATAAATGATAGGGTGTTTCCTCTGAATTCTCTGATTTTTTTAAATACAACATTGTATTAGTGATTTTTTTTGCAGTGGCTTTTTTTAAAAATAGAGCCTACAGAAAACAATGTTTTGTGCCTTGTTTTCCTTTGTTACTATTATTAAATACTATTAATTTTATAACACAAATGTTATTATATTTAGGACAGTATGAAAAAAATAGAGTTTACGAAAGATCTACAATAATAATATTTAGCGTTTATATAGTGGTTTATGGGCCATATAAAAAAAATCTGCCTTTAATCTTGTGCCCACCGTTTAGCATCTACAATTCATGTACCGTAGTTAGACATCGATTTGATTGCAGGTGCACAGTTGCAGGCATAGTATTAAAAGTTGGTGTAAAGCCTCTTTAAAAATGTGGCCCTTTTTGGTATTATTGGAAAATGAAATTCAACATTCTAAGGCCTTGATCCTGTGAATACTTATGTACCTGCTTAATTTTAAGCATGTGAGTAATTCCATTGACCTTAATGGAACAACTGGCATGCTGTGTTTGTGGTACTAGGGCCTACGTCTTCACCCTTTTAAGTATCAGAGGGGTAGCCATGTTAGTCTGGATCTGTAAAAGCAGCAAAGAATCCTGTGGCACCTTATAGACTAACAGACGTATTGGAGCATGAGCTTTCATGAGTGAATACCCACTTCGTCGGATGCAGGACTCTTTGCCACCCTTTTAAGTCTCCCAGTGAGTCTTCTCAATATGTAACCCACACTCCACTGCGTCACTCTTCGCTGCCCCCCAAGCGGCTGGAACACGTAGAGGTTTATGAGTCTGCTACAGCTTTCATGCAAGCAGAGGTGAGTCTTTCAGCTAAAGCAGTAACACTGCATGTTTTTAGATCCAGTGGTCCTACGTTCAACTGCCAGACAAGTCCCCAAAATGTTAATCCTTCTGCCGGGTGTTATAGCAGTAAGAAGGGCCATGTTCAATGCTGCCTAGGGGATCTGATTAAAAGAAAAAATGAGACCCTCCCTGAAACCTTATCCACTCCCAGGTTAAAGGAACTAACAACCTATCACACACAAACACACCCAAGTCACCTTTACAGGTAGAAACACCCAAGGACTCCTGAACCCCCATATTCCTAAGGACTCCTGAACCCCCAAATGTTGTTTATTTGGGAAAACACAAGAACCACATAGTTATAGATTAATAGATTCCCAGGCCAGAAGGGACCATTGTGACTATCTAGTCTGACCTGTATAACACAGGCAATAGAACTACCCAAAAATAATTCCTAGACATCGTGTAAATAAATAAATAAATAAATAAACAGCCAACTTTGATTTTAAAATTTCCAGTGATGGAGAAAACATGTCAAATAAAATGATCAAAACCCCTTGAACCGAACTGGAGGCTGTAAAACCCTCTCAGCAGGGGCTGCATTTGTTTCTGTCACCTGCCCTCAGTGCTGAAAGTGTTCTGACAAAAGTGTGTGTGTATAGTGTGGGGGGAGGTGGGCTATCATAGACTGGGAGCAGCAGCTCTGGTGAAATGGAGTTTAAAGTTCACTTCTCAGCAACCCACCTTGATTTATTTTTATATATTTTTTGTCCAGGTCTCCGACTCGTTGAAACCCCTGCTCCCCAATTTAAGTACCATCTACAGTCCTGAGCACATCAAGGGATCTAGCTAATAAAATAAATAAATAAATAACATTAAAAAAATTCTGATACTTTCAAAGCTCAACAGGCATGTTTATGAATTAGCCCTTCAACTCCCTTCTGGGGGGCAGATTAGGATTACTATTCCATGTGGGGGAAACTCAGATACAGAGAGGGTAGGTGACTTGCATAAGGACCCACAGCCAGCCCTAGGCACAGCAGGTCCTATGGCCAAACTCTACACAACACATCCCTCTGACTCCGCATGGAGATGGTGCCCTTTGTGTGTCTGGCCCCAGGGAGCCGGTGCCTACTATGCTCCCCCCAGGGGTGTGTCTCCTTGTACCTCCACCCCTAGGGGGTGGGACCCCTTGGACCCCCGCCCCTGGGGGGGTGTCTCTTTGTCCCCCATACTTGGGGAGTGTCTCCTTGTGCTTCCCCCCCGGGGGGCTGTTCGCCTGGTGCTAGGGTGACCAGACAGCAAGTGTGAAAAATCGGGACAGGGGGTGGGGGGTAATAGGAGCCTATATAAGAAAAAGCCCCAAATATCGGGACTGTCCCTATAAAATCAGGACATCTGGTCACCCTACCTGGTGCCCCCGCCCCTAGGGCCGCTGCCCCTTGTTCCTCCCCCCGGCTCCCCCTTTGTGCGCCCTGCGCTATTGCCGGCTTTAGGACCCAGTAGAGCCCGCGGGGCCGCCTCGACAATGGGAAGGGGGGGCAGGCCGAGCCAATGAGCGCACGCATCGGCCCGTTCCTCATTTGCATCCCGGCGCGAAGCGGCCAATGGGGCGGCGGCTGGCTGGCTGAGGCGGCCGCGCAGCCAGCGGCGGAGGAAGAGGATGGCGGCGGCCGCGGCGTGCGGGTCCCCCGCCAGCCGGCCGTCCCGGGAGCAGCCCCCGCCGCGGAAGCGGGGCGACTCCCGGCGCAGGCAGGCCGCCCTCTACTTCCTCAACAACATCTCCCTCGACGGGCGCCCCCCCGGCCTGGCCCCGCAGAAGCCGCCGCCCCCCTCGGCCCCGGCGGCGGCGGGGGAGGAGGCGGCGGCCGAGCCGGCCGGAGCCCTCACCCGGCTCCTTCCCGCCCCGCTGCCCGCCAGCGGGGCCCCCCCGGCCCACGCCGTGGGGGCCAAGGGCGAGGCGGAGCCGGCCCGGCTGGCCGCCTTCCTGCCCCAGCTGCTCGTGGGCGGCCAGGTCGGGCCCACGCCCCCCACGCCGCCCGCCCTGCCGGGCCCCCCGGGGCTGCTCAGCCCCACGCAGCTCGTCCCAGGAGGAGGCGGCGGCGGCGGCGGATTCACGCTGGAGGTGCAGCGGCAAAGGTGAGCGCGCGGGGTCCCGGACGCCTGGGTCCCGCCCCTCTCTCCCAGGGTGTCCCCTCCGCGCTCGCCTGCCCTGGGCAGAGCGTCGGAGCAGGCAGGGCCCCCCCGGGTCTCTGCTCTGGGCTGAGACCGAGCAGGGGACATCTCATTCCCCCGAAGGAGAATGTGGGGTGAGCCCCTAGCCTCGCCCCCCCTCAGCCAGGCGCTCACCCCCGGCCAAGGCAGGGGCCTGGGAGAGTCCAGCCCCGAAGGGGGGCTTAGCTGTGACCCTTTTCCCCGGACCCTCCCACCCCGTGGACTAATCCCCAGCCTAAGAGCAAGCCGGAGGAATGTCCATGCTATGGAAAGCATAGGGTGAGGGGGCTGAGAGCCAGCCTGGGAAAGTTGGGAGCACCTACTGGGGGTGGAGGGGGGGGGTGCGCCAAAGGTATAGCGCTTTCTTATGCTGGTATTAGCTCCTAGATTGTATCCACCTGTCTTTTGTTGAGGTGCGTTAGGAGAAAGCCCTTAGCTGGGTGGCCTGGCTTTATAAAAGCCAGAGGAAGTGTGTTGGGGGTTTTGGTTCGGTTCAGTACTACTAATCCCTTTGTACTCCTGCATGTTTGTTTTTATGCGAGTGGGAGCGGGTTTCCCTTTCTGTCTCTCTTCATCAGAGCCAGTCAGTGAACTTTGGGGGGTTTCTCATCAGCCTGAGATCTAGGAGGTCATTTTGACATCTGTCTTCCTTAAGGCTGGGCACAAACCAGCTGGTCTGTGTTTCTGTTTCTCTACTCTTAGCTGACTTGATATGTTGATATTAGCAGGCATGCTCCTTGCAGAAAAACTTTTTTCTTTGAGCCTTACAAAAGTCTGTAAGTGGCTAATGCTTAGTAATTTGGTAGCACACTGATAAAGATGTAATAAGTGGTCAGACTGTTAAAAAGCATTTTTGTGGGGAAAGGGGCTGTTTTGCAACATATTTCTGTCAGAAAACAAGCTGTTAGTTTGAAGTAATACAAATCCTGTACTGTATGGTATTAGTGATCATAGATTTTCAACTGTTCAGAAGCATGTTCCCCCCCCCCCTCAGATCATGCTGATTCAATTAATTAAACACAACTTTGTGCCAGTGAATGTGTCCTAGATAGCTATAATTTGCTCCCCTTAATCTCAATTCTCTGTACTTTTTTTTTTAATTGTCTACTTCTTGTTTACACTATTGTTTCGTGAGCAATATTAATCAATGGCTTGTATGCTATAGGCATCCTTGGGTGAACTTCAGAGATGGGTACATTGTGTTTCAGTGAAGAAATATGACTGGACTGTGTTTAGGAGAACTCTTACTGGTCTGAAATGTGGATTATCTAATTATTGTTTATCTAATTAATGATTATTCTACTCATCTTGCTCACAAAAATAGCCATACAGTGTTAACTGCCCCATTGAGTCTACGGAGGGGCGGAAACAATAGTACAAAGAGATATGAGCCCCTTAGTCATGGTCAGTGGTTTGCTAACTTCAGAAGTTGATTGCAGTGCTTAAATAGGAATGTTGTTACTCAAGTTGTAATGCCAGGCAGCTTCTCCGATGCATCTGACCAATGTACTTGTTCAGTGCAGCTGAAAGTAATGGATATGTCCTATGATCCATAGGACACTGTTACCAGGACACATGAAGGCTCCAGCATCAATGAAGATGGCTACACAAATCCTTTTATGATGAGTGACCCATGTCAGTTGTCCTGTCCTTTCTTTACTCCTCCACTCCCACTTCCTATCTGCTCTTCTCTCCCCCAACCCCCCCCAATAGTGACTGGTCCTGTCTCAGTTCCCTTAGGAAGAGGGAGAGAAGGCTCAACTGTCATGTTTAGCTTTTTACACATTGCAGATTACTGTACAAAATATTGTTGTTGCATAAGATCTAAAGAAACAGTGTTGCTCTGCAACATCTTCCTGCACAGCAGACCTGTATACCATGTATGGTCCACAAAGTCTTTATATGTAGGCCCAGGCTGCCCTCTCCATGTTAGCGATCTGGAAACAACAGTGTTGATCAACAGTATTTTTTTTTTTTTCTTGAAGGTGCACATTAATAACAAGCAGTTCTTCATTTTTCAGGGAAGATACAAGTAACAGGAGATGTTTTGGTTGTGTGCACTTCCTTTTGACTTTTAAAATCATAATTAAATCTCTTGAGGGAAATTTCCATCTGGATCTCTGCTTGTATAAGCACTAAAGTGCCCCTACACTTTGCAGGTATAGACACCTATGTACCTGTAGGTGTCTTGCATGCTACAGACACAGGAGCAAAATCGTGTGCATGAAGTTTCGCATATGTACACCAATGGAGGCTGAAAATTTACATATCCAGTTATATTTCAACTGTTCAGTGTGACTCCTCCCCTTCATGTGCCAAGTTACTTATAAGGGACTAACACAATGTGTATTACACAAACAACCATGTGACTTTATAGTATGTAAACATTCCTTTCCTTATCACATCTCAGTCCTCTTGTTTGAGGTCAATTCTCCCTATTCAGTATCTAATTTAGATGCTAATCTTCTTAGGTCAGTGACTCGTCACATTTTTTTGTCTGTACGGCACCATGCACATCTACGGTGCTGTAATAAAATAACTAGGTTCAGCCTTGTTCTTGGGAAGTAGTCCGTGTGTCTGCAAAAGGTAAAAATTTTCTGCTCTGTATTTTCAGTGGAACAGGTTTCTATTATCCATATAGAATGTTGTTTGTTTTTTTTATTCCATCATATGCACCAGCCACTGTATCCTCTGTATAATATGGAACAGAAAATGTTTCATAATAGCTGCATGTTTTTCTATCATCCCAAATCTTCTACAAAACAATGGGAAAAACAATTGTCATTTTAGTGGGACTCTGGAATTTAAATAGTAGATACTCAGTTTTTGCTGTATGGTGGTGCTCACTCAAATGGGTTAAACTATTTTTGTCACGTAAATAAGCTCCAAATCGATGTATTCATAACCTATCCAATTCCCCTGTAATACTGTGGCACAGCTGTTGATTCGATGGCACTGACACCCATATAATTACAGAGAACATTCTAAATTTATTTGTACAGTGTTGCTAACTAGGATGTGGCTTCACTGAAGAACTTGTAATGTTTGTATGCTATTGGGAAGAGCCAAGATAAGAACATAAGAGCGGCCATACTGGGTCAGACCAAAGGTCCATCTAGCCCAATATCCTGTCTTCCAATAGTGGCCAATGCCAGGTGCTTCAGAGGGAATGAACAGAACAGGTAATCCTCAAGTGATCCATCCCCTGTTGCCCATTCCCAGCTTCTGGCAAACAGAAGGTAGCTGACGTGTCTGGTCAATGTAGACCAGGGTAAATCATGATTAAACTCTACTAGGTGGAGGGTTTAATGAATATTGACTAACATTATGCTGAACACAGTTTGCTCAGGTCCAGCTTGACTAGTCAGTGACATGATGCTCAATTACTCACAGTTGCTATACAGTTGTCTAGTAAAGACAAGCCCGTAGGGTGGAAAGTTTCAACACATACCCCTTATTAATATTTAGCCTGCGAGAATATGCTAACAGCGCTTTCTTTCTTGATTTGCTTTATAAATCTCAATACCCAATTTTAAAATGCTGCTGGCTATACATTGTACATTTAAAAGAAAGATTGAAGGTTGAAAGCCTTTGTCTTTTGTGCAGATGGGCTGGTAGAATATCTAAAATTACAAATATGCTTTTTCACCACCTTTCTTTTTCTGCCTGTCGTCCCTCCTCCCTCTCTCCTTTTCCATCTTACTCCGTTCTTTTGTTCTTTCAAAGAATAAGGCTAACAAAAGAGGGTGGAGGGAGGAGGTGAATAGGGAACAGAGCAGCATTGCTGGATCTTAATGAATTTCTGCAGCTGGGCCTGAAATTGGCACAGTTTGCCATGGAATCAGATAACTGAGGGCTCTGAAAATAGCCAAGTTATGAAAGCGTGAAGAATGGGAGCAACAACTATACATGACATTGTTTATTATGCACTTGTGAGGTTTTGGTATGGCACTAATGCAGGGAATAACAGTGAAATATATCCGCTGTGCATTTAGTTTAGCCTGCAAACAAATATCTGGCCAGATCAAAACCTCAGCAGTCACAATGCCATTTCATATTCTGCATGCAGTCACTTACTTTCCCAAATTAAGCTGTTTTTGGCTTAGCAATTGGAGGAACTGTTCATAATAATGTGTGGTTGCTAATAAATCAGAAATGGCTTAAATTGATTTAGATCATCTTTATAGGTGGTGATATTAAAATATGATTTATAGTTAAGGCTGACATTTTTTTAAATAGCTGCTATTAATTGTGTGTCATGTTGATATAGTCACTGTCAAATTAATTCAGTATGTAAGGGGGGAGAAATATCCCACCAAGCATCTATATCTGTGACTGTTGATGTCGTGCTTTGCAGCACCATCATTTATAGTTGAAGAAACATTTTATCTTTAAGCCATTTCTGCAAACATACATGTTTGATCCATATGGCTGGGGCAACATTTTGTTAACATATCTTTTGAAAAATGTTTGATATGAGGTCATTACTGAGACTCCAGCAGATCTTAACATCATAATATAGACGCTTTCTATGCCATTTTAGTTTTAATTTTGTAAGACTTCAAATGTGCACTCAGTACTTTACAAGAAGCAGAAGATACTAAACAAAGAAGTCGTCCCCAGCTTTTGAAGAGCTTGCAGGCGCAAGTACAATAGTGGCATGTGCTTTGTAGAGCTGAAATGAATAAATTCACAATTTACACCTTGTTCATTTGTCTAAATGTTAGCTAGGCATTAGCCCAGTCCCTGTTTAGCAAGTACCTTTTTCACGCACATAACTTGTACCTGCCTTCTTTGCAGCAGCAAAGGAATTGCGGGTGTAAAGGTTAATGTTTGCATGACTAGCTTCCGTTGTGCCCACCAATCATCCTAATATTCATGTTCACAATTCGCCAAACAAAACAACAACAAAAACCCACTGTGTA